GAACTCCAAAGTTGAACTACAACGAGCAACAATTGTTATTGGAGAGCGCTTCTTCGGTGGCACTTGATTGCAGAAAGGGATAAAAACGAGCATAGCTGTGAGCTTTTGCTTTAGCATAGCAAAATGTACATGATTCCTGAATTCCCTTTACCTGGCAGCTATAGTCTTCAAAATTTGGCTCCATATACAGATCGACACCCATGTGATCCTTGAAGAAGGTCTGAAAGATAGAAATCCGTTTTTAGTAAAAGCCGCTAAATAAACTTCTCTTTTAGGCAAAGGAAGTAGTTTTTTTTTTTTTTGCGAAGCTCCAACACGGGATTGAAACCTAACTATTCAAGGAGTATTTCTTGCTGGATCTGGTAGAATTTTGGGTGAGGATTTTTTTTTTCAAGATCTACTCACAACTATGAAACATCGACGATGCTCAAGCAGGTTTCAGTAAGCAGCTTGTACAATTCCCGTTTGCTAATTGATATCACATCCCTCTGGGTTTGGGAGACATAAAGGTATTGCAGAAAAAAGACTGCAGAGGTACAAATCTGGAGATACAACGCATAGACACACCTGGGTTGGCAGTTTGCACGTGTTGATACAAATGCCAAGACATTTGCTCTCTTCCAAATATTTACACTTCTCGACAAACACCTGGCAATTTCCATAATGACGTATTAACAATTCAAAAGTCTTCGTGAACAAAATGTAAATTGAAGACTGAACAGATCAATACCCCACTTGAGAACGACTTCCCATTGGGCAGTGTCACAGAATTCACTGAACATGTTCCCATCAGCCATTGGCACGAAAGCGCTGTTGCTCTAGCTTTACGAGTCAGAAGGATCACAAGTACTCCCTCCGTCCGGGTGTATAAGTCATTCGCGTAGTTCTAGGTCATCGATTTGAGGAATTAAATATGTGTTACTACCTCTGTCCCGGTGTATAAGTCATTCGCGTAGTTCTAGGTCGATAATTTAACTATCTAAATATGTATTATATGTGACAAAAAATATATATTTAGAAACTACATCCGTGTGGAAATCTAGTGGTATATTTTTCATGACATATAACACATATTTAATTCCTCAAATCGATGACCTAGAACTACGCGAATGACTTATACACCCGGACGGAGGGAGTATATGTCATGAAAAGTATACCACTAGATTTCCACACGGATGTAGTTTCTAAATATATTTTTTTTGTCACATATAATACATATTTAGATAGTTAAATTATCGACCTAGAACTACGCGAATGACTTATACACCGGGACGGAGGTAGTAAGAAAAAGAAGAGCACTGATCACGCTAAGTTACGGTAATTTAATTCTGCAGTTGATCGCTACAGAGAATTGAGTCCTGAAAGTATTACATGCACAGCCTAAAATGTCTGACTTGCAATGAACTCACCTACCATCATGGATGCAAGTTGGCCATTAGCTATCAGTGCTAAAAGAGCTTTGAAAAGGACCAGCAACAGAGGGGGGAAGAGTGCCTGGAGTACTCGGACCTGAAATTTGGAACAGAAGAGATGCAGAGAAGGATAACTGGATTTAACTTTTAAGTCATGTAAACATGGCAGAAGAGGTGGGACTGGAGATGAACAAGAGCAGTGGCATACAGCTGATTGCTCAGTCTCAGAAGCACTCTTTCCCTTGATCATGAGGCGATTCGCAACTTCGATCAGCCCGTCGTATCCAGGCTTTTGAGAATCCCACCCAACCTCCTACAGCTTTATGTAGAGAATGAGAGAAATTAACAGATGTAACAAGCACATGGCAGTGGAAAGCGTGGAATTCAGTCTCTGGTTTATCAATTCATCACGTTCTATCCAACCAGCAAAGATTGAAAATGTTGCATGGGAGTCGAGAATTGAGGTTCAGACTAGCTATTTTATCATTCAGTATCGTATCATAATTTCTGCAGTCAACCACATCAATCGAGAATCATTTCATATCGGCACTAACAAAAATCACTTGCATGGTGGAGAGGAGATAGGTAGCTCCTCTAAGTAGAGACAGTAACGGGACGGGTGGATCGACGGAGCTCACCTCCACCATCTTGGCCCGGAAGAAGGCAAGGAGGAAGTCGTCGGCGAAGGAGGGCCGGTACTCGCCGCCCTTGCCGGACGGCGGCGCTTCCACCTGAAACGGCACCACGAAGCAATAAACTGTTGTGCCCCTTCCAGGGCATGGAGACTAGCTAGAACACCTAATTACGTACCGGCGGCGAGGAGCAGTAGAGCCGGGAGGCAGGCCGACGGCTGGGTCCCCGGGCTGATGGGGCTGAGGATGACGGAGCGCGAGGGGGGCGGGATGGGAGGGCAGGGAGGAGGTGGCCGTGGAGACGGCTCGTGGTCGGAGCCGACATGGGCGTGGACTGGACAAGCGCCGGCGAGCGAGCTCCGGCTGTTGGCCTGTGAGAAACCGTAGGAATCAACCAGTCAGTGCGTGGTGGATAGCCGGCAGAGGCCCACACGTCAGCGACCTCCACTAATTCCTTTTATTTTTTGATGTTTTATTATTCTCCAGGCGGCAATGCGGCCCAGACTACCGACTCTCTGCCAGGCACATGTATCCTTTTGGCCCAAGAAATCGATCCGCCAAGCAACAGTGCACAAACTTGGTACTCCCTCCATTTTTGTATACAAGGCCACTATCAAAATTACAATTTTCAGCTATACAAGGCCACTAACACAAATCGATGTAAAATTGATGAGGTTTGCCTCGTACTAGCAACCGAAGACATTAATATCACATGCATGCATGCGGGAGTGAGAAGATTGATTTAAATGCACCGTATTAATCAACCAACAAGGAGTGAGAGAGTTGTCTTGTTGTGCGTTGGAGAGATAAATACATATTAATTAACACGTCAAGCAAGGAGAAAAGACTAGTTTGCAACATTGGTTTAAGTAGCCATTAATTTCTACCTTAGTACCTGTAATATGGGTTTGTGGCCTTATATACAAAAATGGAGGGAGTAACAAACTCTTGTCTCAAAAAAAAGGGGAAAAAGAAAGAAAAAAACTCTTGTCTCAAAAAAAAACTTAGAAAAAACTCAAACATAGACTACCACCATTTCAGTAGTGCTCCTTCATCTTCGAAGGGCGTGACACCAATTTCGGTTTGGAGTTTGGCCGCCATCTTTGGCTGTTGAACCCTCCAAATCTCTCTTGTATTCCCAGAAACATTATTGACTAATAAAAAGTGTGTTTAGACTAAAAAAAATTGTCCAAAAGCACACTGACTTGCCAATTCCTGCAGAGTGGAAAAGAACAGCCTTCAAAAATCTCTTAAGCAAAGAAGATATTACTAAAACCTGCAATCCATGTACAAGACATACAAGAGGTTACATAAAAGAGGGGCCAATTTAACTAGTTAGAATGCAAAGTTTCAGCTACCATATGTGTAGGGATTGTGTCTTGCCTTAATTTCCAGGGAGCTAGTCTTGACAGGAATGATTCTAGTTCACATCCCCAGATGATTGAGAAAAGCCTGAGCAAATACTCTACACCATTCTTGTTGGAATATAACAAGGAAAACAAAAAATGTCTACACAAAATCCTGGTCATGCATGTGAAGAGTAAATCAAAGGAGTATTAACAGTCACTCTAGTTGGTATGAAATAAAGCCTGAAACAATTCTCAGAATACCCCAAACCAGATTAAGATCATCAGTGAACTGTAACAAACACAAACTTGTCCAAAACATCCTCACAGAGCCCAAGCAGAGAGTTGCCAACCCCATTGATGCCAGTCCAGCAAGATCTGAAGAGATAATAAAATTTCTTCTCAGTGTGGATCAACTTGACAAAACGAATAAAGTTGAGGAATATAAAGTTGAGTGTCAGGTTATTACATCATGTTGTGTGCTGCTCCTCTGTCTTTGCTCTCACTCTGATCCCTGGTCTATAACAGAAAGATTACATGCTGGCAATACTTTTATCACGTGTATTCAACAATCTCTTTTTTCTCGAGCATGCGGGAGATCTGCGTGTCATTACATTAAGAAGAAGAAATGGGACAAGGACCCATACAACACCCGCTCACACATGCTACACACGCCACAACATTATTCTTAGATTACATCCGCGCCTGTTTATCATTAAAAAAAAACCGACTAGACAGGACTACAGACCAAACAACTAAGCTCCATGGGCCAGGGCAGTCAAGCAAGAGAGGCCCCGTGCACCCGCAATCTCCCAAAGACGTCGCTCATCGCCGGCAATGTATTCAACAATCTCCATCAGTGCTACTCAGTGGTGTGGTGCGACTGACAGCATAGAGTATGAGACTCCGACATGAGCTCGAATATCCACTAAATGAACATAGCATGAGTTATCTCAAACATCCCTTCTTTAGGGACACATTTGCCCTGGCATATATCAGAAATTCCTCAAACTAAAAGTGAATCTACCCTTAGCAGATCACCGAGAATGACATCTGCTAAAAATGCATTCATATCAAGGAAAGTGACTCTTTTAGAGAGATTATAAAATCTCTGGTGGTTGGAACAAACCATGCTAGAAAAGCTAGAATTGATATTCATTGGGCTTCTGGAAAGAGCACATATTTATACCTTCCCTGTTCAATCAGAAGCCATTATCTTTAAATGCACCAGTTCTGCTAGACTATGTGGTCCACCTTTCCACACCAAAGAAGCTTAAAAGATACACATATATGAACTGAATGATAAAAATGAAGGACCGGTTTTCCACAAGCAACTAGTTTGCATTTATTATACGAGCAAGACACCCAGATGGCAATGGAATAAATCAACTGTACCTTCTAAGGAGTTATACACATCCAATGAATCAACTACTCAACTGTGTCTGACTTCTCCAAAAAATCGATACCTTGCAGGGAGTGATTTTATTTGCTCATGATATCTGCCTTCCCTTGAAAATAGATGCATCATCAACAAACCAGTTGAATTTTCAAGTGAGATGCTCTTCCCATCAACTTTAGACAAATAATTTCCAGCCTTGACTATCTCACCTTTTTCTAGCAACATTCTGATGATATCATTTAACAGAGCGGAGCTGGGAGCATAACCACTCGTCTCCATTGATGAAAACATATGATCAGCTTCTTCCATTGATTCTTCTTTTAAAAGATTTGTTATCATTATTGTGTAAGTAGAAGCATTAGGTACCAATCCATTGGCAGATATTGCAGCAAACAAAATGTTAGCTTCTTCTCTTCTTCGAACCTTGTACATTGCATCAATCATGGTATTGAATATTGTAATATCGAACTTCACATCCGTTGCACCTAATTTGTGGAACAGTACGATTGCTTCCTCAGTGCAATTATTCCTACAAAGTTCTCCTAGAATTTGTACCGTATGTTGAAATGCTCACTGTTGTTCCACTTTCAATCATCTGATGGGCAATCTCCGCAGCTTCCTTGCCTCTTCCATGGTTGCAAAGGGAGGCCACGAATGAGTTCCGACGTGTTGCAGTGCAACACCACTAGTGATTTTCGAGCAGCTCCCATGGAAGCCCGACATAGCAGCTCCACGCTCCATTGTAGCGCCAGCAAAGCTTCAATGGCCCCCACGACGCTTCATTGAAACCCCGGCGGCGCTTCATTGCCACCACGCGCGCTTCACTGCAACCCCGACGGCTCCGCCGATGCTTCATGGCAACTCCGGCGAGCCCTTTCTGCTTCACCAGCTGATGCGGCCCGTCACCACACTGTTGGTGCCGCCATGCTGCACTGCAGCTCCACGGACACCGAGCTGCTTTTTCATCGCAACACCCCTCGCCTGAGTTGTGTTGCAGCAGGCGTCGCCGCCGAGGTTGCTTTCAAGCATCTGTTGCCGACGACGGCGAGGACGATGGATGCAGCAGCGTGCGGTCCCTCCAGTGTTGCAGCAATGGTGTTGCTGCCGAAGTGGGTTGTGCAACAACGGGAGTAGCGGCAGGAGATCCTTGCAGTGGGTGGTCGGAGACAGGTTGAACGGCGGTGGTGGTGAGGTGCGGCGAGTGGAGATGGAGAAAACGAACAGAGCAAAGGGAGGAAGAAGAAACTGCTCGAGAGGATTGTGTGGACGGCCTTCATGGGATAAGATATGGTTGGGGGAGAGCCGTGCCGGGCCCCACGCGGCACGTGTCATGCGGGAGAGGAGGTTTACGCGATTGAGAAATCGTCCGGCTGAATCTAAACCTTTTCCTTTACATTGGTGTAATGACGGCAATTTTAGTTTTCAAGCACGGTAACTTTTTGATAAAAAAAATTAAGCTGAGACTGATTTACCATGCTCACAACTAAACTTGCCATCCTTGGAGAATATAATTTGCCTTACAAAAAGTTTGGTTTGCCATGATAAAAAAATTGACATCATATTTGTAGTGGAGTCCTTCCTTTACATAGAAGACATGGCCGAGGAGTCAAAGAAAAACATTTGCATTGATCCGAAGGAAAATAACCATTTACTACTTCGTCCGGGTATACTAGTCCCCCTTGTATTTTAGGTCATAATTTGGTCATATTTAACTAATAAAATATAAGTTATACAGTATATAGCAAAAAAAATGCATTAGAAATTACATTCAAATACAAATTCAACAATATAATTTTTTGATGACATGCATTAAAATTTTGCTAGTTAAATATGTGGTCACAGTTTGACCCATATTAGAATGCCGTCTCAAAAAATTCAGAGTAAATGAGTGGGCTGTGCTTCTCATCCCTGTAAGATGTAATTTCCAAAGAGAACCCGAATCTAGCATCTGAGGGAAAAGCTTCGCGTCTCCCTCTTTAAAAAGCTGCCCCCGTACGCAGCATCAGCACAGAAAGAACGGAAACCATCGGCCAGGCACGCGGGCCAGCGATGGCGAACCTGAGCGTGCCTCCGGTGCTCACGCCTCCGCGCGATGACGCCGTCGCTCTCCACAAGGACTTCAAAGGTACTTACACATATGCTACGAACGATGAACTATTCCTTCCATCCTGTCTAGCAACAATCGATGTTGTCTGTGTAACAGCCGGTGTCTTGTATTGTGCAGGGTTCGGTTGCGACAGCTGACGGTGACCAACATACTTGCTCACCGCGACTCGGCGCAGCGCGCGCTCATCCTGCAGGAGTACAAAGCCATGTACCATCAGGATCTCTGCCATCGCCTAGCAACCGAGCTGAGTGGAAACCACAAGGCATGCAAAATGAACTATTACATTTTTTCATATTTACACATCCTAGCTAGGGATATTCTGTCCAAAAACTGAGTGGAGTACTGCTCCCGAAACGAACCTGCTTGGCTGTGGTAGCAGAATGCTATGCTGCTTTGGGTCCTCGACCCCGTGGGGCGTGACGCGACCATACTCAACCAGGCTCTCAACGGCGACATCACCGACCTGACAGCCGCCACGGAGGTAATCTGCTCCAGGACGCCGTTGCAGCTGCAGATCATGAAGCAAACCTACCGCGCGAGGTTCGGTTGCTACCTTGAGCATGACATCACCGAACGCACCTACGGTGATCATCAGAAGGTTAGTCTTTTGTTTGTTGTTTCCATCATCATCACATACGTGCCTTTTCTTGATCTGTTTTTGCGTTTGAATCTACCGTCACTGTAACTCAATTATTCGGATGCTGATCAATGCAGCTTTTGCTTGCGTACCTGGGAGTCCCGCGCAACGAAGGCCCGGAAGTTGATCCTTCGGCGGTGACAGACGACGCAAGGGACCTGTATCAAGCCGGCGAGAAGAGGGCGGGCACCGATGAGCGGGCCTTCATCCGCATCTTCAGCGAACGCACCTGGGCGCACCTGGTGTCCGTGGCCAACGCTTACCAGCACATGTACGCCCGGTCCCTGGAGAAGGTGGTGTTTATCTCCAACTTGCTTGAAACTCCTCTCATCTTCCTTCCATGAGCGAATCAGGCCTAGAAAATAAATAAATAAAGGCATTGATGCTCACCGAATTTACAGGCCGTGAAGAGTGAGACGACAGGGAACTTCCAGTTCGGGCTGCTGACCATCCTCAGGTGCGCCGACACTCCGGCGAAGTACTTTGCCAAGGTCCTGCACAAGGCGATGAAAGGCCTGGGCACCAGCAACGCGGCGCTCATACGGGTGGCGGTGACGAGGACCGAAGTCGACATGAAGTACATCAAGGCAGAGTACCACAACAAGTACAAGGGGTCGCTGGCTGAAGCCATCCACTCCGAGACGTCAGGGAACTACCAAACCTTCCTCCTCTCGCTCGTCGGCCGGGACCGCTAAGGCGCTCCCGTGCATGCTCAATCGATTCCACCACATGCATGGTGGCGCCAAGACTGCCATGTGTGATCGATCAATAGGCATTGGGGCACAATAATCTGAAAAGGAGCAAAATAAGATTGTATTATTTCTGTTTTTTTTTAGAAAAGGAGGACGACCCCCGGCCTCTGCATCTGGACGATGCATACGGCCACTTTATTAATTATTGACACAAGACCGTACAGAGTCATACAACAATAAGTCTAGAGCCACCAAACTAAGCAACAACTGTCGCTATCCCTATCCAGTTGATGTAGGGGCGCTGAAAGTCTGGGCCTCATACCAAACAGACCACGCAGCCAAACCTAACCATCTAAAAACTTGAGGTCCCACCCAGGACGCCTGCCGGGTATGGGCACCCACCAGTCCGGCGTGCTTCTCAACCAGGATCCCTGCCGGGTATGAGGCCGCCGCAGCCACCTGCCACGAACTCATCTTCAGAGCTGTACTGCTGCATCAACCTTGGCCGGTCCAACTGCCGCCGACGCCACCATGACGCCAGTCAGCGTCACCCTCCTGCGCGAGTCCATCTTCGCTCATCAGGCGCCGAGTCTCCACTGCGCCACGCAGCCGAGATCCGTCGTCATCAATGGAGCAGATGAAACACCGCTCCTCCTCTTGTCCACTCCAACCAGCACTCGCTCCAAAACGATGCCCCCAGGAGGGAGAACGGTACCGATAGCACCGTCATCGTCCGATCCGGTAGACCCAGTGTAACGCCCTCAATGCGGCTATATCTCCTACGTGTCGAAGCACGACTTAGAGGCATAACCGCATTGAAAGCAATGTCGCAAGTGAGGTAATCTTCACACAACCCATGTAATACATAAGGGAAAGAGATACATAGTTGGCTTACAATCGCCACTTCACACAAATACATGAATAAAGCATTACAACAACCAAATACAATCAGGGCCCGACTACGGAGCCTAAATAAAAGAAGAACCCCAAATGCGACAAAGGTCCCCGATCGACCCCAACTGGGCTCCACTACTGATCAACTAGAACGGAAACAATACAAAGGACAAGATCTTCATAGAGCTCCTCCTGAGCTTGGTTGCGTCATCTGCACAGACTCATCAGCACCTGCAAGCTGGTTTTGGAAGTATCTGTGAGCCACAGGGACTCAGCAATCTCGCACCCGCGAGATCAAGACTATTTAAGCTTATAGGAAGGATGGAGTAATGAGGTGGAGCTGCAGCAAGCGACTAGCATATATGGTGGCTAAATACGCAAATGAGAGCGAGAAGAGAAGGAAAAGCACGGTCGATATAAGTATGATCAAGAAGTGATCCTATAGCAACCTACGTCAAGCATAACTCCAACACCGTGTTCACTTCCCGGACTCCGCCGGAAAGAGACCATCACGGTTACACACACGGTTGATGTATTTTAATTAAGGTCAACTTCGGGTTTTCTACAACCGGACGTTAACAAATTCCCATCTGCCCATAACCGCGGGCACGGCTTTCGAAAGTTCAAATCCCTGCAGGGGTGTCCCAACTTAGCCCATGACAAGCTCTCACGGTCAACGAAGGAATAGACCTCCACCCGAGACATTCCGATCAGACTCGGTATCCCGGTACAACAAGAAATTTCGACAGGGTAAAACTAAACCAGCAACACCGCCCGAATGTGCCGACAAATCCCGATAGGAGCTGCACATATCTCTTTCTCAGGGCACACTCAGATAGGTCAAGCTACGAGTAGAACCAATCCTCAAGTTTCCCCGAGGTGGCCCCGCAGGCTGCCCAGTTC